GGGTCTTCATACATTAACTTACCCCAAGAACTTAAAAACTCTAAAAAGGGTTTGATAAATATGAAAAATAAAGACAATAAATGTTTTATGTGGTGCCATATTAGACATATTAACCCACAAAATAAATACCCACAAAGGATTAAAAAATCTGATAAGGAATATATTAACAAGTTAGACTACACTGGGGTTGAATTTCCAGTGACTGTTAAACATTATAATAAAATCGAAAAGCAAAATAGAATTAACATTAACGTTTTCGGATATGAAGATAAACAACCATATCCATTATACATTTCAAAAGAAAAATTTGAAACCATATGGAACTACTATTGATAACTGATAATGAAAACAAACATTATATTCTAATAAAAAATTTTAATGCATTTATGTATAATCATACAAAACATAAAGAAAGAAAACATTTTTGTATGCGCTGCTTACAATGTTTTAGTTCTGAAAAAATATTAAATAACCACATAGAAAACTGTATATTAATAAATGGTATACAATCAATAAAAATGCCTGATAAAAATAACAACATAGTTAAATTCAACAACTATCATAAACAACAAGCTGTTCCGTTTGTTATATACGCTGATTTTGAAGCTATTACAGAAAAGATATCTGGTTGCCATCAAGACAACGATAAATCATATACAGAAGCTTATCAGAAGCATACTGACTGTGGGTATGCGTATAAAGTTGTTTGTTGTTATGATGATCAATTTACTAAACAAATTCAACTATATAGAGGTGAAAAGGCTGTTTACAAATTTATGGAAGCTATGTTAAAAGAAGTTAAATATTGTAAAAATATTATGAAAACTCACTTTAATAAACCATTAAAAATGACCTCTGATGATGAAAAAGAATTTAAAAAGCTGATGAATGTCATATCTGTAATAAAAAATATACTAACAAAGATATTCGAGTTCGAGACCATTGTCATATCACTGGCAAATACAGAGGCTCGGCACATCAAGATTGTAACTTAAAACTTAGAATAGACTCTGATAAATTAAAGATCCCAGTAATATTTCACAATCTACGTGGGTATGACAGTCACTTCATAATGCAAGAGATCGGAGCTATTGTTAATAAGCATACATACAAAAACAAAAAAGGTGAGGAAACGCATATGAATATAAATGCTATACCTAATAACATGGAAAAATATATGGCTTTCATGTTAGGTAACCATTTAACATTTCTTGATAGTTTTCAATTTATGAGCTCTAGTTTAGAAAAGCTTGTTAGTAACCTACCTAAAGAATCGTTTAAATACACCTCTAAGCAGTTTAAAGGTGAAAAATTTAATTTAATGACTCAAAAAGGTATATACCCATATGATTATATGGATAGCTTTGAAAAGTTTGATGAGGGGCCTTCAAAAAAGACTTTTATAGTATTCTTACTAATGAAAATATCTCAGATGATTCTTATAACCATGCACAAAAGTGTGGAATACATTCAATCTCAAAAACATGGGTGATTATCACGACCTGTATCTGAAATCAGACGTTTTATTATTAGCTGATGTATTCGAAAATTTTCGAAAACATGTCTTGAATACTATAACTTAGACCCATGTCATTATTTTACATCACCAGGGCTATCGTGGGATGCTATGCTTAAAATGACAGATATTAAATTAGAATTAATGACAGATATTGATATGTTTCAATTCATTGAAAAGGGTATGAGAGGAGGTATTTCTTATATTTCTAACCGATATGGTAAAGCTAATAACAAGTATATGGAAACATTTGATAAGAATAAACCCTCAAAATATATAATGTATCTTGACGCAAATAATTTATATGGATGGGCTATGTCACAATACCTACCTACTGGTGGTTTTAAATGGTTAACTGAGAAACAGATTAACAACATAAATTTAGCCACATATAAAGAAGATAATAAAAAAGGTCTAATTTTAGAAGTTGATTTAGAATACACTGAAGAACTACATAATTTACATAACGATTATCCATTAGCACCTGAAAAATTAAAGTAAGAAGTGAAATGTTGTCAAAATATTGTAAGACAATTGCTTCTAATTACAATATATCAACAGGTTTAGTTAATAAGTTAATACCTACATTACAAAATAAAGAGAAGTATGTGCTACATTATAGAAATCTTCAATTATACTTAGATCTCGGGTTAAAATTAAAAAGTACATAGAGTACTTGAATTTAATCAATCTCCATGGTTGAAAAAATACATAGACTTTAATACTCAAAAAGAACTAATGCAAAAATTCTTTTGAAAAGACTTCTTCAAATTAATGAATAATTCGGTATTTGGTAAAACTATGGAAAACTTACGAAAAGAGTAGATGTTAGACTAGTAACTAATAAAAATAAATTATTAAAATTGACTTCAAAACCTACTTATGTAAGTAGTAAAATATTCAATGAGAACCTTGTGGCTGTGCATAAGATCAAAGAAACACTAACCCTTAACAGACCTGCATATGTGGGTATGTGTATCTTAGATTTAAGTAAAACGTTGATGTATGATTTTCATTACAATTATATCAAAAAGCGGTATGGTGATAAAGCTAAATTATTATTCACTGATACAGATTTCTCTGTTATGAAATAGAAACTGAAGATGCTTATAAAGATTTTTGGGTTGATAAAGATAAATTTGATTTTAGTGATTACCCAGAAAATTCACAATATCATGATAAGACTAATAAAAAGGTTATTGGTAAAATGAAAGACGAAGCCGCTGGAATAGTAGTTAAAGAATTCATTGGTTTAAGAAGCAAGATGTATAGTTATATTAAAGATAATAATAAAGGAGATAAAAAAGCTAAAGGAATTAAGAAAAATATTATTAAAAACGAAATAAAACATGAAGACTATAAACAAACACTATTTGAAAAGAAACAAATACATCATACAATGAAAACTATCAGAAGTGTAAACCATCAACTTAGTAGTTATGAAATTAATAAAGTATCACTCAGCTGTTTTGATGATAAACGGTATATATTAGCTAATGGATGTAAAAGTTATGCTTATGGTCATTATCTTATCAATTCAAATAACTAAATATTAACAAACAGTTATAATGTGTAGTAAGCATGTAGTGTAGGCCTCTGTTAGAGTAAAATCATACATACCTGCTCCTCATGTTTGACTACATATCACATAACTGTTTGTAATAAGTAATTAATACAAAATCTATATACAAAAAGATTCAAAATCCTGAAACAATTAGTAAAAACACTTTTAACAAAAATTATATAAAACATTGTTAACCATGTACATGTGACACGCACTTTATAGACAAATTAAAAAAACATATAGAACCCATATTTTGTAAAACATTGTATTATTATACATGCGCTGATGAAATGTGCTACCTACATTAAACAACCATTGTTAAGAACATACACTAAGACACGCGCCTGACAGACAGATTAACAATTGATTTCTAAAGACGGTTTTTTAAAGAGCATCTATGACATTGTTGCGCTCAAAATTTCAGGCTTAGTTGCCTGAAATTTCTCGCCCCTAACAACGATTTAAAAAGATGCTTTATTAACACTTGATTATTAACACTTGATTATTAAAGAATATTTCTACCAAGCGCTGAGTTTTAAGACCATTGTTAAAGGCCACTAGTTAACCAAATTACCACGTAGACTATAAAGCGCGCTGCTACTGATATTTTAATAACACTTGATTATTAACACTTGATTATTAAAGACGGTTTTTTGAAGAGCATTTTTTAAGCCTCTGTTATTCTCGAATATTCTTCGAATATTCATCGAATCTACGGGGGCGCTCCGAATTTTCACTTCGTGAAAATTTTCCCCACCGTCGCTCAGAATTCTCGAGGCCTCCATCCCCTGCTCGATCACTTCGTGATCTGCGCTGCCGAGGCCTCTCCGAAACGATGCTTTCTTAACAATTAATTCTTAAAGACGGTTTTTTAAAGAGCATTTTTTAAGCCTCTGTTATTCTCGAATATTCTTCGAATATTCATCGAATCTACGGGGACGCTCCGAATTTTCACTTCGTGAAAATTTTCCCCGCCGTCGCTCAGAATGCTCGGCGCTCCATCCCCTGCTCAATTTTAGCTACGCTAAAATTTCCGCTGCCGAGCGCCTCCGAACTGATGCTTTCTTAACATTTATTTATAAAGATAGTTTTTAAAAACATATAGATTCCATATTTTTAAACGATTAATTGTAACCTCGAGATTTTTACCCCTTTGAAACAATGACTATTTTTTACACAGCTTTTTTACATGACCTTTTGCCAGAGGGACGTCTTTAAACCATGGTCTTATTTTGAGCTATTATAAAGATAGTTTTTACCCAAGGTTATATGTAGTATAGTACATGGGGCGTATGGGATAACAAAAAGTAAACTTTTTGTGATCCCCTACCCCCATGTACTATACTACTAAGATGTCTTGCAAATTGTAATACAGTTGATTTATTGCTATTGCTATAATCAGCAGTCCATAAAAAAACAACTTAAATTTGCAATGAACAATGACTGCTTTTTGAATGCTAAACAAAACATCGTAGCTAAGAGCATTTGCCTTCAACAAAAATTCAAGTGTAAAAAGTTTTGGACTCTCCTGATAGAACCTAACCTCTAACCAAGGACTTTGCATGGTTATATTTCTAAGCTTCGAAAAGTAAAGTAAATGAAACTAGTTATCTGCTTCGATTGCAGATAAATGTATAAAGTGTGACAAATACATGTACATATTGATATTTCTAGCAATTTTGAACAATTTTAAAGGTAGTGCTACACAATAAACGTGACGGTTTGTGTTTTGACTTGGTTCTAGTTTGTCCTTTCACAGTTCCAATAATTTTAAATACTTCCTCCAAAAAATTCTTGATAAATCCAGATAAATTCGGACTTAACTTATTCCAACATCGTTTACCTTTATTCTTTCTTTTAAAAATACTTTCACTGCTTATTCCAAAACTCTTTCTCTCATAGGAACATAAGACGCAAGGGTTATGCAAGGTTACATGTAAAATTTATTTGAAAATGATTACATTAGTATAAATTGTGACAAAAATTATTCCAAAAATGCATTGCTCATTTCAAAAGGAATTCTACCAGTTAGATCACAAAATTTTGATTTGGCAAATTCTTCAAACCCTTTAGAAGTGAGGTAACGTGGCTGTGGCTTTTCGTCAGTAATCGCTTTTAGAATATATTCGACCACTTCTTCAGGTGTTTGAGCTTGATTTATTACTTCGGCAGCAGAGGTTTGAATAAACTTTTCTCCAAGCAATTTCGATGGGTCATCATCTGCTAGTTGCTCACTGTCGAAGGAGAATCGAGTTAGCATTCGTGTTTTTATAGCGCCTGGTTGAATGCTTACAATACTGCAAAGAAAAAAGAATGAAATGTATATTTTATGCATTGATTTTGCGAAAACTTTGTTTCGCTGAAATCTCTTCCGGTTTCTTTTGACGGACGTACGACGTCATACGTTACTTGCCACACTAATATTGGCGTGTTTAACAACTTGTAAAATTTCAATCTGGAGTTTTTGACAAATGTTCTTTCATAAAAGAAAACAACGACTATATTTTTGAACTAGAACTAGAACAGTTAGCAAAAGTATTTTATGCTACATATATAAACGGATAAAACAATATACAATTTAGAATAATAAGTAGTTACAATATTGATCTTGCTCTATAATCAAAAAAATGTAAGAGAAAAATTGGCTAGCTTTCCTCACAGGGTTGTATGGCGACATTGATACCCATTCCAATAAGTCTTTCTTAGCCTGGTACTATAACATAATATGTCAGGGTTAGGGTCATGAATGCCAAAGGAATGAATGCCAAAGGATTTATTTCGGCTGAAATGTTCGCTTGGCAGAAAAATAATATTCTCAACATCCCCCTGGCCTGATGTTATATTGATTTTCCTGCCTATAGTAAGAAATTTTAAATGCAATCAGAGTTGTTATCAAAACAAAAAATATAATTGCAAAGTTAAACTCGATATTTTTTTAAAAAATGCCGAATCGTTGTTCAATTGTTGAATGTTGTATTAATCACAAAAAGAAACACATCGCTTTTCACTGTTAAGATATTTTCATAAAATTTAAAAGCCCTTGCAACTGAAAGCCACAAAATCCAAAAGGCCGTATTAAAAAACATTGTCTTGAATACTGCATATATTGATGTTTTTTGTATGTGTTTTTTTCTTCAACAATATTCAACATGTTTTTCTATTTATTTGATTAGTTAACGTCAAACAATAAATTTACCAATTTATTGCACAATAGTTTTCTTGACGAAAAAAAGACCCTGCACTTTTTGCTGTTTGGGAAGAAAGTATTAAGAAATGGTTACCCCTCACGGAGCCAACGTAGTGGAGTGGAGTCTGTTCAGATCATTTTGCTGAACACATGAAGAGAATGTTTGGTGGCAATGTGTATCTGGTATGCTGTGAAGTACTGACACTATTGCATTCACTGGTACGAACTGAATGGACAATTTAAGCAACAACACTCTACAGAACATGTCTTTTTAAGGAATGAAGCTTGTTTTGCTTATTCCTACAGATGCCAGACACTGAAGAAGGTGAGGTAGACACAAATGTGCAGGGTGTTCAATTTGAGGAGAGTACTGAAAACGAGGTGAGTGATAGTGATCATTTTTCTCTTCATGATCACTCATATTGTCTTAAGTCTCCCAGGAGACTGAAAAGACAGTTAGATAAAGTTATTGACAAGGCAGAATCTTATAAAAAAAGGTTGAAAGTCTCTAATGCAACAAAAGGTAAACTGAAAAAAAAGGTAAATGATTTACAGTCAATCATTCATAGCTTGAAAGATGAGAGAATGGTCAGCTCTGATTAGGCTGAGCTTCTTAGTGCTTTACTATCTGGGGTTTCTAATGATATAATGAGTCGTTTAGTAGCAAACACTCAGGGTAAAAAAGGGGGTCATTATCTCCCAGAATTCCGGGCTTTTGCTCTTAGTTTGAAATATTACTCACCAAAGGCGTATGATTATGTTTGAGAGAAGTCTAATTTAACCCTACCTCACCCAAGAGTGATTTGATTATAGTATAATTCTGTCGACGGTGACCCTGAAACACCAAGGACGCCTTGATTACTTTGAAAGTGAAAGTTCAAGCAGCAAAAGAATGGGACGGTCAGTAAGTTGTGGCTATGTTGATCTTGGTACTGGGATTGATGATGATTTACTCCCTGAAGCAACTGAGGTTTTAGTCTACATGGCTGTTGCTCTAGATTCATCTTGGAAAGTACCAGTTTGTTACTTCTAGGTAGATGGCCTCACTGCAGAAGCAAAAGCTAATCTAACAAAGGAGTGTTTAGTCCAGTTGTGTGAACTTGATGTGAAAGTTGCAAGTCTTAATTGTGAAGGTCCATCCACACATCATGCAATAATGAAGTTGCTTGGAGTGAAACTTTCACTTAATGATTTCCAAGCATATTTTTTGCATCCACCTGATGCATTTTTAGATCCTTGTCATATGATCAAGCTTGTCAGAGGAGCAATTGCTTAATTGCGAACCCTGAAGAATGAAAAGGATAGTTTGGTAAGGTGGCAATATTTAGTTGAGCTCGAGAAACTGCAAGTCTCAGAAGGCTTGCGATTTGCGAAAAGACTAAAGAAAGCTCACATAAACTGGAAGCCGCAGAAAATGAAGGTACATTTAGCAGTGCAAGCACTCAGCTCGAGTGTTGCAGATGCTTAAGACTTCTGTGAAGGTAAGCTCAAAATTCCACAGTTTAAAGGGTGTGAACAAACTGTTAAGTTCAGTCGAGTATTTGATCGCCTGCTTGACGTTTTGAATTCCAGGAATCCAAGTGCAAAAAATTACAAAGCACCAGTAAGAAAAAGCAATTATGAGTTAATGTAAACGTTCTTGGATGATGCAAAGCAGTACATTCTGAGCCTTAAGGGTGATAATGGAAAGACGATCTTTTCCCACAAGAAAAAAACAGGATTCCTGGGGCTTCTGTTGTGCATTGAAGCCGTACACAAGGGCTTGCTGAGGATCTTGTTATAATTGAAAATTCTTACCTTAAATATTTGCTTACATATAAGATAAGTTAAAATCATTTAGAATTGTTTTTTTCAGCTGTGCGAGCAACAGAAGGTTGGAACAACAATCCGACATCTCGACAGTTCAAAGCAGCGTACACAAGCAACTGTTGATGCGACATAATAGTACAGGAAGTCGTGGAAATTGTGTTGCTCAAGATGGAACCGAAACTAGAAGATCAGTGTGAGAGTGAACAAATGTCGGTAAATATTTCCGATATAAATACTGCAAACAAGAAGATACGATCTAGAACTGCGTGGGCCAGAACAAACTGACCACGATTACTGCGACACCTTAAACTACATTCAGCTTTTAGAGTACAAGGAGGCAGCAATATCTTATGTTGCTGGCTATGTCACAAAAATGGTGGAAAGGAAGATCCATTGTGATGATTGTATTAATGCTCTGACGTCATCTAACCAATCAGAGTACAGAGTTGCCGTTTGTAATTTTCCCGCTTTTTTAAAAAAAACATAAATATTTTTTAAACTTATCTAAGTTTTTCTTTGCTTATTTCTTGTTTTTATTGCATTTGAAAAAATTTCCTTTGTGGTCCATAGATAAAAAAGAGGTTAGTAGCTACAGATTAATAATTTAATAATTTCTGAAAAGCTTTATATGAAATTTCCAGCATGTAAGTTAACAAAAAGTGATTCACTCATATGGTTTAAATCTCTTACTGCAAAAGATCTATTAATACTTAATCGTTTTTTGCATACAAAAAAACCAGATACCAAATCATACAGATGAGGAAAAAGCATTGAAAACTGGTATCAAATGTGTATAAAATTTGTTTTTGTTTAGAAAAGTGCAAATAGTTCAATTGCATTTAAAACAGGTCAGGGAATTGAAGATAAAGATGTCCAAAATTCTAGTGTGTATTTAGCCAAAATTGGTTATACTGTTTAATGATTGTTTTTTGCATTATTACACAATATTTCAATCCATCTAAATGTGTTAAGACTTTACTACTATTTAAAGTGGCTCCACTTCTGAAAACCAAAAAAATGAAGAAGGTAAACAGTGTTTTGTATAGAAGTTTGCTCTAATGACACTTTTACCTTTTCACCTGCAAATCAATCATACACATAACAAATCAAACAGCCCCTAACAAACCATTTATTTATATTTAGAAAGCACTGTGGAATCAAATAATACATTTAAAGGTGCGGTAAAGGGTATACATGCACTAATTGCCTTTGATGCCAGGCTGCTAATAGCCACGGTTGTTTTATTAATGAAGGAAGATGCTACAATTGTGGACACAAAGGCCACAAAATGAACCAATGGAAAAAAAGTAATGACAGCAAATGAAATAAAATTTCTCTCGTGAACATTGAAATCGACAATGATGTACTTTTTTATATAGAGTTTAATCGTGTGAGAAGAAGTAAGTTTGATTAAGCTAGTGATAAAACATCAACCTCATTAGATAGTTCAAGACTTCAAGCTGCATGCATTATTGTTAACAGAAATAAGTTAATTGACTACAAAAATACTAAAGTGCTGTGAACATACAGCTTTCTTTTGAAAATTTAAAAGGAATACGTAGCTACATATGCAAAAGAATGAGCCATGTTGCCAAACAATGTAGGGAAGCAAACCTGCCCGTAAAAAAGTTCTAAATAATTGCAGCAACTGCACAATAAACCTTGCAGGTAAATAAATATATAATAATTGTTTTTTTTGTTATTTTATAATTGGTTTTTTATCTTAATCTGAAATATGAATATACTTTGTTTTTTTTCTTTCGAATTAATTCAATTAAATTCTTACTGAAAATGTGTTGTGTAACTGAGTCTGATTATCACATTGGCATAAATACGACTACAGAGTACTCCTTACGTCTTTGTCCTTAACTTGAAAACAGAACACATGTACATTAAACACAATGTATTACAAAAGTTCAAACGTAGCCTAGCCAACGACAGTTTTGTCGCACATAGTTGATAGCTTTCCTAGAGGGAGCCGATAACTGGAAACCGCAGTTGACCCGCTGTTACGAATTGTAGGTTTTTATCGTGATATTCGTCATAAAATGCTTGTCAAACCATTAATACACTAATACTTTTTTCTCACTCTTTCTTCAGGGGGGAGGGAAAAATTTGAAAATTTTCTGAAAGGCAGTCATTATCGGTAAATCTCAGCGGAAATAGGTCCATTCCATCATTTTTTTGACAACCTTCGATATATAAAGCCGTGTTTGAGATAGCCGCTCCAGTTATTATTCGACTCAATGGACTCAATGGTTTAAACCAATGATATATATAAATTTAAAAAATTAAAAAATTAAATAGCTTTTACCCCCGGTCATGCACAATCACTGCCTTTGCAATTTGATTAGAAGAAGCTACCCTATAAAAGTTAAAAGTTAGCATAAGAATTGGGAAATTAATTATAGCCTATACAAATTTACATAAGATCAGCATAAGAAATTGTGTTTTTCAAACAGTCAAACCGTCCGATAGGCGATAACATAGTCAAAGTTTTTTCTCATTGCATATCTGAGAGTTGCAACATGCAATGAGAAAAAACGAGGTGGGAATCGAAATCGAAAATACAAATATTATAGCACAGCATATAATGGGTAAAGCAGCCATAAAGAGAAAAAGAAAAAGGATAAAATTCTTACAAATTATTAAAAGCATTTAATATAGACGAGTTTTTTTTTAGAATAGACAGATTTCGCCATCTCATGATGCCATCTCTGTATTATTTATGTATTACTCACTTATACTGAAGATGGCATCATGAGATGCCGAAACATGACTATTCGAAAAAAAACTCTTCGTCTATATTAAATGCACATTAGCAATAGTGTATCTACGAAATTATGGAAACATTTTGATGATAATTGATGATAAACCTTGTAAATAGTTATATTTAATTTATTTTAACTAACTTGGCACATTGCTTTGAGAATATCCGAAACCGCATGAAACGTGTATGTTATGTTAATGAAACTTTTTGTACATAACATGTAGCTTTCTACTGATAGTTACTTACTGAACATTAAACGATGCAAGCTCAGGCGCCAAAGAATCCGTAATTCCTTCTAAAGCATATTTCGATGAGCCATACACGGTCAGGAACGGAGTAGAATGTAATCCTGCAGTTGAGCTGATGTTAATGATGCGCCCTTTTTTGTTTTTCTTCATAGAGGGAACAACAGCACGGATGACGCGCAGTACCCCAAATACGTTCGTATCATAGGTGCCTGTGATAGTTTCCCAAGGCTGCACCTCGAGTACACCACACCAGCCAGTAGCAGCGTTGTTCACTAAATATGGAGTATTATTATGATAATTGAACACCTTTTACAATATGTCAACAAGTTTAATGAAAGCGCATCAATGGCATTATACCAGAACTTTGAAGAAAAAAATGTTAGGAGCATTAGTTCGATTATGTAATGTTTACATTTTCTTAGTTTATAGACCTTGATCTCTTCTAAAATCACTTTCTCACAGCCCGTAGTTCAATTTGCACTACTACATGCCTCGCCCACTCATTGGGCTCCAAAAGAACTAGCGTTTACTTGTATCAAATAAATGATTAAATAAACAAAAACAACATAACTCATTTCTTCAGTTTACAAGATGTTTTTTGGAGTGAGCTTTATCATTTTTTAAAGACTTTTGTACCAATCAGCCATGTGTTCACTTCTTTGCTTTTCAGCCAAAAACATTGAGTAACATGTTTGTAAATGTAGATCGTCCTAGGTTGGTATAGTCCTGAGAAGGACTGTTTTTGTTGTTGTTGACTGACGTTTCGACAACCTTAGCGGTAGTCATCTTCAGAGTCAAATGAGGAGTAAACATGAGGTTAGCCGTATCTGGTTCTTACGTCATTGTATTGTGTGTACAGGAAATATGTATTGTCATTTTGAATTAGTGTGAAGTGAATATTTTTATTTTTAGTTGTGATGTGTGATTTAGGTGTGATGTTTTTAGTTGTAATGTGTGGGTGTCAATTGTGTATTGTAATCATGAATTAGTGTGAAGTGTAATGTTTTTAGTTGATCGTTTGTTTGTATTGTGAATAAGTCGTTTGTAAGGTGCCGGTAATTGCTGTGATCTGTTCAGGTTAAGGTTGATCTGTTCAGGTGATCTGTAATCAGTTAAGGTTCCACTAAGGTTGTCGAAACGTCAGTCAACAACAACAATAGTCCTTCTCAGGACTATACCAACCTGGACGATCTTCATTTAAAAAAGTGTAACGAAACTCCCGGCTCAAACCATTTACTTTAGGCTGAGTAATCTTCAGCCTACAGCCCCGGGCTTTTGAAAGGCCCGTTGTATCTGGACGTAATTACTCAACATATCTACAGTTCAAATGCGCGATGCTCAGAACTCATGAAGTATTGGCTTTTCCGATTTCCCTGACCATGTCAATGATTTTTGAAATTTCGTTTTAACTTTAAAATGAAATTTTCCCATTTTTTACCCTATGGGGTTTCTAACAGGAAATGCAAATCAAAGGAAAACTTATCTTAGCGGGAGGAATAGATGCAGCTTAAAAGCCTACAATTTTGTCTTAGCCTATAGGCCCTGTATTAGAGGCTGTTCACATGAGCCCGGTAGCCGGTATTCAGCGAAGCGTTAAATCATTTTGGCAAATGAAAAAGATTAAATACTTTAGAACAAAAAACTTATTTGAGCAATTTCTCTATGCTCTGACTTAGCAAATTCACAAAACCTTTAAAATGAAAACCAATAATAAAGCCTGATTTGAAAATTACAACAAAAATGGTTTCTGACGCTTAAGGAAAAGTTGTAAGTTTTGCGCTTAAAGTTTGTACACTTTTCAATGACTCAAAATCATTTCACGCCTCGCTGAATCCCGGTTATCGGGCTCATGTGAACAGCCCCTTAGTATAATCTGCCACTGTTTACATCGCCTAAATTATTTTTGATATCACACAAATACGTGTTACGTACAGACATCACATCTCACAACAAAAACCTTAGTAAAGGCAAAGCGACATTAACTGAGTTATAACAGCCACAAAAACGAACTTGGACAAGCGTATAGCCAGGCGGTACAAATAGCTATTGCCGATTAACGCAGATTTATTTTAATGCATACGTAACTTTTTGTGGGGGTTCCGTTTTTTGGGGGACACCCCACTGGGACACCGTGTAGAGTAAGTATTATAATTAACTATGAAGTAAATGGTTTGAACCCGGGAGTATCGTTGCATGTTTGTAAATGTAGATCGTCCAGGTTGGTATAGTCCTGAGAAGAACTGTTTTGACTCTGAAGATGACTACCGCTAAGGTTGTCTAAACGTCAGTCAACAACAACAAAAACAGTCCTCAGGAATATACCAACCTGGACGATCTACATTTACAAACATGCAATAATTAACTATGGTCACTGACGCGTTTTATATAGTCATTTAATATATGCAGCAGAAGGGCGGGGGAAAGGAACAAAGCCATTTGCTAAAACAAAATATTATTCAGTACTTTAAACTTCACCAAAATTGACTGCTGTACTTACTCTTATTAAAATTATGGAAAAACCTAGATACGACTGTGGACATAAGACAGGCACAGAGCTTTTACTGCCATTCACCGTAATTTCATTCCCCTGACAGTGACCTAAGACCTTACTTATGACTTAGCTTGTTTACATTCTCGGGCAGGCAGATACATCCGAAAGCTAAGTCGTCTATTCACATTGTCTAAGATCAGTCAGTCAGACGTTTCATTCTTGTATTTCAATAGACATAAGACTGCAAAAGTTCAACACGGTGGTAAAGTGAGGAACGTAGTAAATAGTATAAACTTTTGAACAAAATAATAGCGAAGTCATTTGTATAAATGACTGTACGCTTTGGTGGATTTAAATTTGAAAAATTTGCATTTACGTAAAAGAAATGCTGTTGTTTGGGTTTGGCACGCGTCGTCATTTTAATTTTGTTCAACAGAACTGTGCTGCACTAAAAATATGCCGTATCTCACACTTCCTTTTTGGCTCATGTGAAAACGTTATTGTCATATGAATGCAATAAAAACAAATTTCCTTTGTAAACTTAAATCTAACATCAAAATGGTACAAATTGTCCGACAAGTAGCTAAAATTCAAAATGACATTAATTGAAATCGTACCAACAACATCGATTCTTCCCTCCTTCTCCAGAATTTCTTTTACAGCAGCGTTCACAGAATCTTCTGAACAAACATCCATTTCGATTACAACAACATTGCGACAACCAGCAGTTTTCTCTAACAATTCATCTCTCTTGCTTGACTTTCTCATTGATGCGTACACTTTAAATTTCTTGTCTGTTTGCTTTGCAAGCACATAAACTGTCGAAAGACCAAGACCAGCGGATGTTCCAGTGATAAGAACAATTTCTTCGGCCATTTTTCTCTCAACTTATCTTCGCCTCGGTTGCTTTGCCAATACAATTATACACTGAGCTCAGCAGTCAGCGACAATCTGTATTTGTTGTGATAATTACAAGGAGCAGTCTGTCACGCGCATGTGACGTCATAGCGGCCGTTATAAAGAGTACACCACTGAGATGTTATCACTATAAAGTAAATGGTTTGAACCCGGGAGTATCGTTATCTTTTGACTCGTTATCTTTTAACTCTGAAGATGACTACCACTAAGGTTGTCCAACAACAACAAAAACAAGTCCTTCTCAGGACTATACCAACCTTGACGATCTACATTTACAAACATGTTATCACTATTACACTCACTGACATGTAGATCGTCGCGGGTATATGGCCCGAATACCCGTGTTTTTCTTATGTAAAAACCATTAAATAACGGAAGTACGAAGGTCAAGCAATAGAAATTAAACAGTGTACTATTTAATCCACGCACTGTAAATATGTATGTGTATGTTTGGTTTTGAATATCATTCTGTCTGAGGATGACTTTGAAATATAGTCGAAAATTTACAGTTCACTTTGCGTCGTGTCTTGATTCATATTTTGTAATCTCAAGAAGTCTTGTTTGTTAGGAATTTGTTTTTCACTTAATTTTTTTGAATTGTCGGCTGGACATATGGTTTTTACATCAGAAAAAAGGTTATTCGGGCAATATGTCCGTGATCTTGTCCTCTAAAATGACTTCGCTAAGTAATTCGATTTGGCGCGCCATTATGTTTTAGTTTGTTGAGTTTTTACGCAAGCGCTTTTTTGATTTTTTTCAAAGCTTACTCTTTTACTTTCAACGCACACACAGTGGAGATCGTTATTCGTGGCGAAAATATTCAACATGTTGAATATTTGTGCCACTTGTCACGAATGACAAAAAACTCGCAAAATTCAACCGCACACTGGAGCTGCCTCCTTAAGCACGCTACCACGAATGACATATTGCCGAGCAGAAAGCTCTAGTGTGCGCCAAGACTTAAGAAACAAGCATGTATTTCGATCTACTTTTTATGCTTATGTACATAGACAATCGCTGTCGAAATGGAATCTTTGTTGGTTACGAGAAAAAATACACGGCATAATTGATTTACTATTCAGAATAATGTATCAAATTGGATGATAACTTTCAAGCAGAACAATTATATGATATCGACAATATAATTTCATACAGGATGCAAAATGCAGAAAGCATGAATGAAACAAAAAAACTGAAAAACTTTGAACAAACAACAAGATAATACAAAAACAAACAATCCTGAATTAAGTACTGATCGTCATGCACGCACAAAAGCAATAAGACTTGATTTCATTAACTGCACAATAGCAAGGTTTGGTTTCAATACCTGCACCAATGGCAAGGTTTAGATTAAATAATTTGCCTACGAAGTATTTCACGTAAATAAGTGTTCTAATCATGAGCCAGCTAGTGCGAATGTTAAAATGGCTAACTGCAGCCAGTAATCTATTTAAAACAACACCAGGTTGCAGAGTAAAATGGGACTACTGACTACTGTTTGTTACTTTAACTGTAACTGTTATTAAGACCACCCACATGTACACACTGTGTACCTATTTTTTGAATAGCGATGAAATTGGGCTTTAAATGAATTGTCGTTCTTTGTCAAGTCATTGTCATTCCAATGGGAATCAGCATCAGATGTCTTTGTAACATGTGAAGGAAGTATACTGTGATAAGTTGTCAATGCCATCATGAAATTATGTGCCTATTTTTAAATTTTTTTAAAGTTCATATGGCAAATTGCAATTTATAAATGCTTTTGGTCATCTGCATTTGATGCTCTAGCCTCTATATGAACTTCGAGGAATTTCTCCTAAATTGTACTATTTTGTCTGAGCAAAGCGTTTGATTCAAAATTTGCTTGAAAACAGTACATAATTTTTTTAAAAAGTGATGAATTTCTAACAATTATATTTCCATGCAGTGCTGTGTTTGAAATTAAATGAAGATATGATCTTCGCACTTTGCTGGACAATTTAAATAATTGTCTCATGAACCTGAAAAATTCAGGTGACTCAACGGGATTCGAACCCATGGATTCGAACGTGGAACTGGACAGTTCTGCCCTTCTGGAATTTGAATATGAATATGAATTATGAAAGGTTTTGAATATGAAAGGTTTTTTATTATTCATCTTCAGATTAAAAAGTACGATGAATTTACATTGATTTTCTATATATTTACCATATTATACTAAGAATTACATGTTAAATTTATTATAGATATTTACAAGATCTAGCAATAAAAGATTGTTTATGATATTTGGTCATGGATAAAATACTATAAGTTTTACTTTTACGCAACTCGTGCAAATTTTTTTTGGGATAAGGTACTAAAAATTTGTATGGATGATCAAGTTACACTATAATCCTTTTGATCTCTTGGGTAGTTGCAAGTTCAAGTCTGCTTTTCAAAGAGGACAAGTAGTTTTTATCTAGTTGTACAATTTTTAAACTTCTTCTTTGTACACGTTCAATTTCTTGCTGTAAGAAATGTGGAAGTATTGCCCAAACAGCCGATGCATGCTCTAATACTGGTCTTATTTTTGATGTATATGTTAATAATCCAACATCTTAATGTAATTGAGACTTCCTACAAAGTCGAAGATGATATAGTCTTTTATTTGCCTTGCATGTAATTTGGTGTACATGTTCATTCCATTTAAGATCATTTTGACATGTTACGCCGAGAAGTTTGAAACTATTAACTCTTTCTATTTCTTCTTCAACAATAAATATGGGGGGTGGCTCTTGTATTGAGTCCGTAAAGCATATCCACATATCCTTTGTTTTTTTCGGGTTCAGGGCCATTCTGTTATTATCAGCCCATTTTCGTAATTCGTCGATTACTTTGGATATTTATTTTTTCACGCAGAGGAAAAAGGGAGAAGAAAAAAGGTCACGCAGAGGAAAAATGGAGAAGAAAAAAGAAAAATAATTGCTTACGCTAGTAAATCACTAACTACCACAGAGAAAAATTATTCTCATTTGGAAAGAGAAGCTTTAGCTATAGTATGGGCCTGCGAACACTTTCATTTGTATTTGTTTGGAGGAAAGTTCACCATCGTCGCTGATCACAAGCCGCTGGTGAAAATATACACAAATCCATCATCAAAGCCATCTGCGAGATTAGAACGATGGGCTTTGCGATTGCAACCATATGATTTTGAAATCTGTTTTCAACCTGGAACTGAAAATCCTGCAGATTTTCTCTCACGTCATCCCTTATCTGATGAGAAACTAAACAACCGTCAAGAGAAAGTAGCAGAAGAATTTGTTAATTACGTTACACAGAACTCGGTTCCAAGAACAATCAGCAGGAAAGATCTGGAAGAAGCTACAATAGAAGACATTACTCTTCGAGCAGTAATTCAAGCCATTGAAACAGGTAGATGGTTTGAGAGTTCAAAGATGGTAGGAGTAAATCAAGCAGAATTTAGTTCATATGAGAAAATTAAAGATGAACTTTGCATATCTTCGGGTATAATTCTACGAAAACATCAAATAATCATACCAGAAAGTTTACGAGAGAAAGTAGTGAACATTGCTCATGAAGGTCATATGGGAATGTCAAAAACGAAAGCGTTATTACGTGAAAAGGTATAGTTTCCACGTATAGATGAGTTAGTTAATGGAAAAGTTAAATCGTGTTTAGCCTGTCAGATTACAACTCCAGTCAGTGAAAAGGAACCATTGAAAATGTCAGAGTTGTCAAGATCTCCTTGGAAAGAGCTAAGTATGGACTTTGGTGTAGCTCCTAGAGGCACAGGTGAATATTTGTTTGTTTTGTATGATGATTTTTCCAGATATCCCATTGTAGAAGTAATCCGATCAACGTCCGCAAAGACTGTTATACCCTGTTTGGATAAGATTCTTTCGGAGTTCGGGATACCAGATACGATACGTTCAGACAATGGACCGCCATTCAATGGCAAGGAATTTTACGAATTTTCAAAGTATTTGGGATTTAAACACAGAAAAGTTACTCCTTATTGGCCACGAGCCAACGGGGAAGTGGAAAGATTTATGCGTACTATCAAAAAGACAATAAAGGCTGCGATAATGGAGGGAAAAAATTGGAAGCAAGAAATCCACAGGTTCCTGCGTAATTATCGTGCCACACCTCATAGTTCGACCAAAATTTCTCCATCTATGGCTTTATTCGGTCGACCAATGAAAGTACGTTAACCTGAAGAACCATTTCATGTAGATAAAGAGGAAAGAATTCGAGTACAGGATGAAAGAGCAAAATTGAAGATGAAATTACATGCAGACAATAACAGGAACGTAAAGACAAGTGAGATTAAAGTAGGTGATATGGTGTTAGTAAAGAAAGATACGACCACCAATAAACAACAAACACCCTATGATGGTAAGCCATGTGAAGTCGTGGAAAGAAAAGGTTCAATGGTAACAGCGAAGAAAGATAGAATGTTGTTTACTCGTAATTCGTCATCTTTCAAGAAGATAGAAAATGGAAAAAGTCTAGGAGAACCCATTGAGGAAAGTATAAAGGAAAAGGAACGGCGGTATCCTTTGCGTACAAGAAAAGCCCCTATTTGATACGGACAAGTTGAAAGTTAATTTAGAGATGGCTATAAGAGAAACAATTAATATTTTCATATACGAACTTATAGATACAAAATACAAGAAAAATATCTTTAATTAGTTTGGGGAGAGGTGTAGTGTAGTTATTATGTAAATTATTAGTATTTCGTACGTCATATTACGTATATTATAATTAAGTAAAGATCTGTATAAAAGTAATATGACAAAGCAATACAAGGGAGAAATCTCACAATATTACATCTGGCGACAAAGATGGGACTGCATTCACCTCTTTTGACAATCTGGTCCCGAGCGCAATCATCCGCATATTTACATGTATTAGCATCTATTACTTTAGGAATACTGTCCTCTAAATCATTTATATATACATTAAAGAGCACTGGTGATATGACAGCTCCTTGTGGCACGTCCAAAAGGCAAGGTTGGATGGATGACATGGCTCCTTGTAGGTTGACTTCTTT